TTTTTCTGGCACGGAGCATTGCCTCAGAAAGAAGGAGGTTTCATGCATTTGGTTTATATATATATGAACCAAATTTGTCCATTAGGCTCATCACAAATTTTGTTCCTCATTGGTAGGTAATTAAAAAGGGACTATTGACTTGACGGTAGCACTAGAGCATAACATAATAAGACATTCAATGTGTTATTTGGAGGCTACGTGTGTGCCAACTAAGTTGATTATTATTAGAAGCAGAACGTAGAAAAAGTGATGGCCTGTGGCACTATGAATATCAATCCTTTGTATCTTCCTCTTCAAGGCAAAGGATATATCATTTAATTCCCAAATACTCTCTCTAGAAAAAAAAAAAAAAAAAAAAGGCTACCTCCAGATTTTGTGATTGTCTGGTGATATTACTGCTTTCATTTTCATGGTCTGGAATTCGTCCTCTTACTCCATATATAGAAGGGCGGAGCTTAATTGCCTTAATTCAAGCATTAGCAGCCGTAGAAGTTTTAAACCATAGCAAATGAAAACACCGACAAGAGCCCGCCTGATGATTCGAAACCGCTAAGTCCTACTGGTCATGCTTCCCCACATCATTAGCAAAGAATTTCTAGAAATAATAGAAGATTTCCAGGCACAACTAAGCTTCTGCCAATACTCTGGCTATGCCAACAATATTGCTGAGTGCTTATAGTTACGGATGGGTTCTTGGCATCACATTTTGCTTCATTGCTGTTCATGTTTGAGACCAAGTCTGTTAAACTAGTTATATTTTGCAGTTCCTTAACTTTTTTTTATATATTTAGCGTCTGTCATGTATAAGTTGCTTCTTTCCTGGAAAACTGATGTATGCACTTTTTATGTTGTCCTAAGTTATACCAGAAAATTCAATGCTTGTTCTCTAAATCTTGTGTTTACGTTAATTCAAGTTAAATCTCGAGTTCATGTTTATTACCAAGTTAAATCTTAAGTCCATGTTTATTTTTCTCATGTTCTCCTCAACTAGATAGGTTAACCCAGTCCATGACTACGTAGCTTGTTGTGAAAGTTATTTCGAAGGTCAAAGCAACTCATGGTATATGTCTACGGCCGTATCAGAAAATCTTCCCCAAATCAAGATTCCACAATGATCAGTCCAAAGTTCAATTTTCAATGTAGGTTACACCAAGCGAAATTGATGGAAAAAACACATTGGTATCGTGGGGTATTCCCTAATGCTTATGTAAAGATAAAGATTCATATGCTACAGTAAACAAAAACATAATTGTAATGGCGGTAAACGTATAAGCTTAAGCAATAATCCATTGAAGCAAATAACTCTATAATATGTAACAATGTAAGAAAGAAATACTGCTACCATGTCCAAAGCTTAGCATTGAGTGTAGGTATGAACGTTTCGAATATTTACACAAACAGGTAATCTTTTGCAATAATATATATATATTATAGTTGCAATACCACGTATAGCATGGTAAGTTTATAATTATGACATAATATTAAATGAATATGATATGTTATTAAATGAATTGATGCATATAATTTTATGAATAAACCCTTAATATTATATACATCATGTTGTAAGTTTATATATGCTGGGTGACATTATATTTATATCATTTTCAAATCTTTGAAGTCTCTTAACTCAAAATTAAGGACAACACTACTGCTTCCAAAACTTCAATAACCAGAACCAAATGGCTAATAAAGGAAAAGCAGAAAAGGAAAATGGCAGAAGTCCAGAGAATAAAAAACTGTGATCATTGATCAAGCTTTAAATGTGCCGATCATCACTTCCTCACAATCTTCCTCAGGAACATTGTGAGGAAGAAATGGGGAAGAGAAGCAGAAAAAGAAAAGAAGCGCAACCAATCCAGAAACAGGAGCATTTGTTCAGAGGTAAGGAAATAAAAAAAGAACCGATATTATTCCCAACATAAGCCACAAAGAGGATAAATAATAGGTATAACTAAATGAAAAATTGTAGGCTGTCGTGGACACTATAAAACCAAAATAGAAGCCTATAGTTTGCACTTACGAACTAGTCGACATAAATAATCAAAATTACCATTGTTGTTTTTTTTCTAGTAAATATAAGATATATTAAATTTGACTTATATAATATATGGGTGAAATAAGTTTAAGGGGAGATGATTAGCACCATTGCGCAACCACAAAATTAAACCATCGTTGTGCCTTCAATTTTTTGAATCGCCAAAAGTGAGTCGATCTGCAGTTTCTATTATCACTTATGCCAAGCCAATAGGAGTCCCTTCCATACTGCATGGAGTTTAGATCGAATTGCTAGCCCAGCAGCTATTGGGTTAGGCGTATCCCTCTCGTACGTGGTGAATTGACCAATGTTTGGTAGACTAAGTACACATAAAGCCCAGACTCTAATCCCTTATTCAGGAGCCCATTAAACACATAAAAGGGGTCTGTTTTTGGATGGTGAGGAGCTTGTGAACGTGGAGTGGAGCCGACATTCGAGAATGTAAAAAGGTGGGAGAAAATAAGAAAATTTTAGTAGATTTGATACAGTGCATAACTTTTCTATTTTATTTAAGCAGTAAAGTTTACCATTAAATTGAGTTAAAATTTTATTTAAGTGTTCATGAGATATCAATTTACAATATGAATAATTAATTTTTCTTTTAAAGTATTATAATTTCTGATTTCATACCCCATAACAATAATTAGATGTTGATTGAAACCATAACACAAATGACCCTTGTGTTGCAACCAGCGGTACAATTAAACCGGATTGAAACAATTAAAAAATAAGAGGCAATGGCTCCTTTCTAAAATCGTGATCCTCTAGACCTAGAGAAGTGCTTGAAGGCACCAGTTACATACACTAATTAATGCAATTAACTAGTAAGCAGTAATGTATGAACCACTCCATTAGGGCCAGTTTTCGCCTCTCAGGCTCTAAAGCTTGGGGACCATTAGGCGGTAGCATAACTAGCTAGGAATTAATATGAATGGGGCAGGATTAAAGCCATGATACAAAATTGTGGATTTTTAATCTAAATTAGCGATGTTTTTATTTTTTTTAAATGAGTTAAAATTACTACCATCACAAGCATTTTTTTAATGATACTTCTGCATTTCTAATTTTGACCAAGAGTGAGAGCAAAGGCCAAAATAGTAATCCAAACAACAATAGTTGATACAAAAATGACAAAGGTAACAATTTCTAAATTATTGTTTGATTAATATTTACTTTTTTA